GCTGGGGGGGGGGGGAGAGAAAGGAATAGCCACGAAAACGACCAGGACGAGCACCAAGCATTGGCTCCTGGAGACAGACACAAAGGGGCGAAAACCGCGAAACCAGAAGTTGGAGTTCGAGGAAATTGGCGTAATAACCTCGAACGTTCCATTGAAGAATGGACAACGACGAGAAGAGAAAGGACAAAAACAGAGAACAAGGAAGAAACAAAGGCGAAAGAGCAACAGAGCACGTTAAAGAATATCAGGGTCGGGATCAGGGTCAGCAAAGTCAGGGTTAGGGGGCATGGGTAAACTGAGCAAAGACGGAGGGAAGGAAACGGGAGAACAGATCAGAGGCGGGCGGGCAGGGTCCGGAGGAGGAGGAGGAGGAGGAAGAGGAGGAGACAACGGAGAGGATCCGTCAAGGACAGCAGCAGGAGGAGGGGGAGTAGAAAGAGGGGAGCGCACCCCAGCAAGAGCAGCAACCGAAAGGGAAGCAGGGTCCAAAGAAACCTCCATAGCAGGAACAGGGGGTGCAAGCACTGAAACAGGAGGGGAAGGAGCAACAGAGCCAGAAGGAGGAGCTGAGGAAGAAAGCGAAGCCTTCTTACCCGCCGGGGAAGAGGAAGGAGAGGAGCCAGGCTTACGCTTCTGACTTAAAGAGACCGGTGTCCCAGCAACTACGTACCGGGCAACGGATTCCAGTGTCTCAACCGGAGAAGCCGAACGAGAGCACACACGACGGCCGGTAGGAGAGCGATGGACATCTGCCCGCACCGACAGGCGGTGGGGAGAGCTGATAGATGGAGGAAGAGGATGGGAAGGAGGACCGGAGGGGGACGAGGAAGAAGACACAGAAGACACGACAGACCGGTAGAAGGAAGGGGAACCCCAGACAGAGGACCAGGAGGAGGATCCTTCGGGAGAGAACCCGAAGGAACAGAGGAGGGGGCAGTGGGCGCATCAGGGTCCAAGGCCCGGAAACGGTTGTGAGTCTGAGGAAGGCGGGAAGGACGAGGAGAGGAAGAGCGCAACACGCGAGCATAAGAGATATTAGCATAAGGCGGGAGCCGGCGAACCTGGCGCCTCGCCTCAGGAAAAGATAAACGCTCCCGGTGCTTCAGGTTGAGGACGGCTGCCTCAAGCTTGTAATGGACACACGCACGGGAGAAGGTAGGATGGGCCTCACCGCAGTTGAGGCAACGAGCCTGGGGAGAAGTGCACTCCGACTTAGAGTGACCTTCGCCACCACACAAAGGACAGAGAGAGACAGTCCCGGAGCAGCGGAGGGCACCATGCCCAAACCTCCAGCACTTGTTGCAGAGCCGAGGAGAAGGAATGTACTCCTGGACAGAGCACCTGGCACCAGCAAGAATGACAGAGGGTGGAAGGGTCCTACCATCAAAGGTAATCTTCACAACCCGGAGGGGTTGACGGCGACTACCACGAGGGGGACGAGTAAACGTGTCCACCTGGAGAATAGAATGGCCCTGGGCAGCGAGGATATGTCGAATATCGTCGTGGCAGTCTCGCAGGTCCCGAACACCGGTTGCAACATGGGGCGGGAGCAAAATAGTGCCAACACTGGCATTCAACTGAGCGTTTTTCGAGACCCGAACGGGGGTCTCGCCAAGGCAGGACAAGGCAGCCAAGCGGGAAGCAGCATCCTGAGAAGGAGCAGCAACGACACGTGTACCGAGACGAGTGGGGTTGAAAGTAATGGAGGCATCCACGGAATCAATGAGATGTCGATGAAGGGAGAAATCGTCAGGAGGCGCAGAATCAAGAGGGAGGAGATCAAAATATTTGGCCCACGAAGCGGGACCAAACAAGGCTTGATAGGTAGCAGAACTGGAAGGAATCGAGCGAGGGCGGCCGTGACGAGGACGGCGGTGAGAACCCCCAGAGAGAGAGGGGTTAAAAGGCGCAGTAGTTACAACTAGAGAAGGAGCCGCGCCAGGGGACGATGTAGTCACCACTGGGGGCTTGGGGCTCGACCCAACCACAGAGGAGGGAAGGGAGCCAGGGGAAGGAGTCAGAGAGGCCAAAGGAGGAGCAAGGTCGGGGCCCAATGCAGCGGAGGCTACAGAGCCCGGTCTTCCAATACGGACCGACTCGGGGGCTTGGTCGTCCACCCCACGAGCCTGAGAAGGGAAGCTAGAAGCAGCCGAAACAGGGGTTTTCATCGTGACGAAAAGAAAAATTCACTCACGAATGTGCCCCCACACCCACCATGGAGCCACAATTAGAGGCAGGACACCCAACAAGAAGCTATCGCCGATCTTGTCGGGGCCTCCTAGGGGTGCGTCGTGAGTATACGCCCCACAAACGCCACCTTAAGAAACCGACAGTCCGTCGAGATCGGGTTCAGTGACGAAGTGGGGATTGACAATAAAAGGTTCCCCTCGCTCTCGACGTCGGGTACTGCAGTTCTACGGGTGCATGAGTATGCCTCCTCAAGCACCCGGGCGTCAAAATAGAAGTCCATGGAAGAACCAGAACGAGCAAAAGGTCGGCAGGAAACGGCAAGCAGATAGGAGAAGAGGGGGGAGAAAAACGAAACAGTCAATCCACCTTAAGCTTCAGCCCACCTTAAGCTTCAACCCAGCTTCAACCCACCTTAAGCTTCAGCCCACCTTAAGCTTCAACCCAGCTTCAACCCACCTTAAGCTTAAACTCACCATAAGCTTCAACCCACCTTAAGCTTCAACCCACGATAAGCTTCAACCCACCTTTAGCTTGAGCCCACCTTAAGCTTCAATCCACCATAAGCTTCAACCTACCGTAAGCTTCAGCCCACCTTAAACTTCAACCCCACCATAAGCTTCAATCCACCATAAGCTTCAACCCACCATTAGCTTTAGCCCACCTTTAGTTTCAACCCACCTTAAGCTTCAACCCACCATAAGCATCGACCCACCTCAAGCTTCAACCCACCTTAAGCTTCAACCCACCTTAAGCTTCAACCCACCTTAAGCTTCAACCCACCTTAAGCTTCAACCCACCCTAAGCTTCAACCCCACCTTAAGATTCAACCCAACTTAAGCTTTAACCCACCTTAAGCTTCAATCCACCTTAAGCTTCAGCCCACCTTAAGCTTCAACCCACCTTAAGCTTCAACCCGCCTTCAGCTTCAACCCACCTTAAGCTTCAACCCATCTTAACTTTAAGCTTCAACCCACCTTAAGCTTCAGCCCACCCTAAGCTTCAACCTGCCTTAATTTTCAACCCCCCTTAAGCTTCAGCTCACGCCTAAGCTTCAACCCACCGTAAACTTCAACCCACCCTAAGCTTCAACCCACCTTAAGCTGCAGCCCACCCTAAGCTTCAACCCACCTTAAGCTGCAGCCCACCCTAAGCTTCAACCCACCGTAAGCTTAACCCACCTTATGCTTCAACCCACCATAAGCTTCAACCCACCCTAAGGTTCAACCCACCATAAGCTTCAGCCCACCTTAAGTTTCAATCCACCTTAAGGTTCAACCCACCATAAGCTTCAACCCACCGTAAGCTTCAGCCCACCTTAAGCTTCAACCCACGTTAAGGTTCAACCCACCTAAAGCTTCAACCCACCATATGCTTCAACCCACCCTAAGCTTCAACCCACCATAAGCTTCAACCCGCCTTAAGCTTCGCCACTGTGCTTCCATGCCCTGAAGCACTTTCTCTCATCACAGTGTGCTGTCAACCACCATTGTGGTTCGGCCAGACTCCCGACACTCGCTCTTGACAACTTCCTGTCAGCAGAACCGGCATGGACCCCAGTATTATATGGAAATGGTCCCCTGCGATGTGATGGAGGTTATCTTGAGGTTATCTTGAGATGATTTCGGGGCTTTTTTAGTGTCCCCGCGGCCCGGTCCTCGACTAGGCCTCCACCCCCCAGGAAGCAGCCCGTGACAGCTGACTAACACCCAGGTACCTATTTTACTGCTAGGTAACAGGGGCATAGGGTGAAAGAAACTCTGCCCATTGTTTCTCGCCGGCGCCTGGGATCGAACCCAGGACCACAGGATCACAAGTCCAGCGTGCTGTCCGCTCGGCCGACCGGCTCCCTAAATCCCTAATGGAGACTAAATCTGCAGCACAATTTTCAGAGCAAAAGGTTTTGAACATAGAAATTGGGATAGAGCGCGAACATGAATAGTAATAGAAGGGGAATGGATAGGATAGTCTTGGCAGAAACATTGGCGACGGAGATTTGGCTGAAATATTGGCGAGGTGGTCTTGGGAGAAGAATAGAAGTACTCTTGGCTCAGATATTTATGAGATACTCTTGTCATATATATATTGGCGAGGGAGTCTCTCTTGGCGTAAATTTTTCCGATGTATCCTTGGCAGAAATATTGGCGTAAGAGTCGCGGACGGAAATTTGGAGAAAGAGTTGTGGTTGAAAATGTTTCTGGGAGGTTAACGAAATGTTAACCGGAGAATTGTCTCCAACAAAACTGTCGTTAGCGGCTGTCAGACTCCAGCTTCTCTCTCTCACATATAGTCTTCTTGCTGCAAGGCTGTCTGTCTGTCTCTGTCTTGAATGATGAGGATTCGGACTATGTCTGTGTCTGACTTACTCTTTGTCTCTCTCTTGAAGTCTTGAAATCTATGGCTCCCTTATGGTTCTGTCTGTATCTGCCGATCTTTCTCTCTTGCAATGTTCTTTGTCTATGTTGCTTGCCAGTCATTTTGGGCCTGTCTTAGACTGTGTTTATATTGAAGTCTGTGTGTCTCTCTCTCGAGGTTTTCTTTCTTCCTAGGTAATAATCTAAAAATGTGTTAACCTTCTGTGTCATTCTCTAGGTTCGGTCTGTGACTGTCTTAGTGCCTAGCCTGTCTTTATTTTTTTTAGGCTGAGTCGAGGTCCTTAGTCTCTGTTTGTCTTTCGGTTTTGACTTAGTCTGTATTTTTTTGAGGTGGGGGGGAGGGGGTCAGTGCTTCTATAATGCTCTGTCCCTTCAGGTTGTATCAGTGATTAGTTGATTGTGCTTTATCTGTGTGTTTCTAGGTATCTACTTGTTTATTCATGTGCTTGCTTTATCTTGGGCCTTGCTTTTGGAGCCTTGCTTTTGGGGCCTTGCTTTTGGGGCCTTGCTTTTGGGGCCTTGCTTTTGGGGCCTTGCTTTTGGGGCCTTGCTTTTGGGGCCTTGCTTTTGGGGCTTTGCTTTTGGGGCCTTGCTTTTGGGGCTTTGCTTTTGGGGCCTTGCTTTTGGGGCCTTGCTTTTGGGGCCTTGCTTTTGGGGCCTTGCTTTTGGGGCCTTGCTTTTGGGACCTTGCTTTTGGGGCCTTGCTTTTGGGGCCTTGCTTTTGGGGCCTTGCTTTGGGGCTTTGCTTTTGGGGCCTTGCTTTTGGGGCCTTGCTTTTGGGGCCTTGCTTTTGGGGCCTTGCTTTTGGGGCCTTGCTTTTGGGGTCTTGCTTTTGGGGCCTTGCTTTTGGGGCCTTGCTTTTGGGGCCTTGCTTTTGGGGCCTTGCTTTTGGGACCTTGCTTTTGGGGCCTTGCTTTTGGGGCCTTGCTTTTGGGGCCTTGCTTTTGGGGCCTTGCTTTTGGGGCCTTGCTTTTGGGGCCTTGCTTTTGGGGCCTTGCTTTTGGGGCCTTGCTTTTTTAGGGTCTGTTTTTTGGGGATTCTCAACACGTTATGACCCGCGATTGTAAGAAGTTTTTCTCAATTATCGGAGGCTGGTGGATGACTAGCCCGAGGGCTGGTGGATGACTAGGCCGAGGGCTGGTGGATGACTAGCCCGAGGGCTGGTGGATGACTAGCCCGAGGGCTGGTGGATGACTAGGCCGAGGGCTGGTGGATGACTAGCCCGAGGGCTGGTGGATGACTAGCCCGAGGGCTGGTGGATGACTAGCCCGAGGGCTGGTGGATGACTAGCCCGAGGGCTGGTGGATGACTTGGCCGAGGGCTGGTGGATGACTAGCCCGAGGGCTGGTGGATGACTAGCCCGAGGGCTGGTGGATGACTAGCCCGAGGGCTGGTGGATGACTAGCCCGGGGGCTGGTGGATGACTAGGCCGAGGGCTGGTGGATGACTAGCCCGAGGGCTGGTGGATGACTAGCCCGAGGGCTGGTGGATGACTAGGCCGAGGGCTGGTGGATGACTAGCCCGAGGGCTGGTGGATGACTAGGCCGAGGGCTGGTGGATGACTAGCCCGAGGGCTGGTGGATGACTAGGCCGAGGGCTGGTGGATGACTAGGCCGAGGGCTGGTGGATGACTAGGCCGAGGGCTGGTGGATGACTAGCCCGAGGGCTGGTGGATGACTAGCCCGAGGGCTGGTGGATGACTAGCCCGAGGGCTGGTGGATGACTAGCCCGAGGGCTGGTGGATGACTAGCCCGAGGGCTGGTGGATGACTAGCCCGAGGGCTGGTGGATGACTAGCCCGAGGGCTGGTGGATGACTAGCCCGAGGGCTGGTGGATGACTAGCCCGAGAGCTGGTGGATGACTAGCCCGAGGGCTGGTGGATGACCTAGCCCGAGGGCTGGTGGATGACTAGCCCGAGGGCTGGTGGATGACTAGCCCGAGGGCTGGTGGATGACTAGCCCGAGGGCTGGTGGATGACTAGGCCGAGGGCTGGTGGATGACTAGCCCGAGGGCTGGTGGATGACTAGCCCGAGGGCTGGTGGATGACTAGCCCGAGGGCTGGTGGATGACTAGCCCGAGGGCTGGTGGATGACTAGCCCGAGGGCTGGTGGATGACTAGCCCGAGGGCTGGTGGATGACTAGCCCGAGGGCTGGTGGATGACTAGCCCGAGGGCTGGTGGATGACTAGCCCGAGGGCTGGTGGATGACCTAGCCCGAGGGCTGGTGGATGACTAGCCCGAGGGCTGGTGGATGACTAGCCCGAGGGCTGGTGGATGACTAGCCCGAGGGCTGGTGGATGACTAGCCCGAGGGCTGGTGGATGACTAGCCCGAGGGCTGGTAGATGACTAGCCCGAGAGCTGGTGGATGACTAGCCCGAGGGCTGGTGGATGACTAGCCCGAGGGCTGGTGGATGACTAGCCCGAGGGCTGGTGGATGACTAGGCCGAGGGCTGGTGGATGACCAGCCCGAGGGCTAGTGGATGACTAGGCCGAGGGCTGGTGGATGACTAGCCCGAGGGCTGGTGGATGACTAGGCCGAGGGCTGGTGGATGACTAGCCCGGGGGCTGGTGGATGACTAGCCAGGGGGCTGGTGGATGACTAGACCGGGGGCTGGTGGATGACTAGCCAGGGGGCTGGTGGATGACTAGCCCAAGGGCTGGTGGATGACTAGCCAGGGGGCTGGTGGATGACTAGCCTGGGGGCTGGTGGATGACTAGCCAGGGGGCTGGTGGATGACTAGCCCGGGGGCTGGTGGATGACTATCCCGGGGGCTGGTGGATGACTAGCCAGGGGGCTGGTGGACAACTAGCCAGGGGGCTGGTGGATGACTAGCCTGGGGGCTGGTGGATGACTAGCCTGGGGGCTGGTGGATGACTAGCCAGGGGGCTGGTGGATGACTAGCCAGGGGGCTGGTGGATGACTAGCCCGGGGGCTGGTGGATGACTAGCCCGGGAGCAGGTGGATGACTAGCCAGGGGGCTGGTGGATTACTAGCCCGGGGGCTGGTGGATGACTAGCCAGGGGGCTAGTGTGGATGAGGCGGACTAGCGTCTGAATTCATAAAGGGGAGGAAGTGATTTACCAGGAGAAAGCGCCAAGACATTACGACTATATAGCACTGGGAAGGAATGAAGACAAGGAACTGGGATGGGACGGAGGGAAGGAATGGTGCCCAACCACTTGGATGGTCGGTGATTGAACACCGACCAGCATGAAGCTCTACCGTCCAGCCCAAGTGATTGGGAAGTGGCGAGGAGAAGAATAGGCGAGAGACAGGAAGGTGATGAATGGTAAGGAACGTCTATAGCGGTGATTGAATGTCAATAACGATCATTCAAAAGTTGATTCAAAGAGTGAGGGAAAGAAAGGGAATGGAAGGGGGAGAGGAGAGGATGGGGGAGGTAGAGAGAAAGAGAGAGAAGAACAATATGAGGGAGAGAGATGTGACGGATAGAGAATGGGAGGGAGGGAGAGAGGGAGAGAGGGAGAGAGGGAGGGAGGGAGGGAGGGAGGGAGGGAGGGAGGGAGGGACGGAGGGAGAGAGGGAGGGGGAGAGAGAGGGAGAGAGGGAGGGAGGGCGGGAGAGGGAGGGAGGGAGGGAGGGAGGGAGGGACGGAGGGAGAGAGAGAGGGAGAGAGAGAGAGGGAGGGAGGGAGGGAGGGAGGGAGGGAGGGAGGGAGAAAGGGAGGGTGGGAGGGAGGGATTGGGAGGGAGGGAGGGAGGGAGGGAGAAAGGGAGGGAGGGAGGGAGGGAGAAAGGGAGGGAGGGAGAGAGAGAGGGAGGGAGGGAGGGAGGGAGGGAGGGAGGGAGGGAGGGAGGGAGGGAGGGAGAAAGGGAGGGAGGGAGGGAGAAAGGAGGGAGGGAGGGTGGGAGGGAGGGAGGGATGGAGGGAGGGAGGGATGGAGGGAGAGAGAGAGGGAGGGAGAGAGGGAGGGAGAGAGGGAGAACTCAAGGGAAGGAGAGTGAGAGAAAGTTTTAATTTAATAAATAATTGTCGCTGGAAAACATACAAGCCTTGAACCAGTGATCCTTCACGGCAACACAACACAGGAACCAGTGATCCTTCACGGCAACACAACACAACACAGGAACCAGTGATCCTTCACGGCAACACAACACATGAACCAGTGATCCTTCACGGCAACACAACACATGAACCAGTGATCCTTCACGGCAACACAACACAGGAACCAGTGATCCTTCACGGCAACACAACACAACACATGAACCAGTGACCCTTCACGGCAACACAACACATGAACCAGTGATCCTTCACGGCAACACAACACAGGAACCAGTGATCCTTCACGGCAACACAACACATGAACCAGTGACCCTTCACGGCAACACAACACAACACATGAACCAGTGATCCTTCACGGCAACACAACACATGAACCAGTGATCCTTCACGGCAACACAACACAGGAACCAGTGATCCTTCACGGCAACACAACACATGAACCAGTGACCCTTCACGGGAACACAACACAACACATGAACCAGTGATCCTTCACGGCAACACAACACATGAACCAGTGATCCTTCACGGCAACACAACACAGGAACCAGTGATCCTTCACGGCAACACAACACATGAACCAGTGATCCTTCACAGTAACACAACACATGAACCAGTGATCCTTCACGGCAACACAACACATGAACCAGTGACCCTTCACGGCAACACAACACATGAACCAGTGATCCTTCACGGCAACACAACACATGAACCAGTGATCCTTCGCAGCAACACAACACATGAACCAGTGATCCTTCACGGCAACACAACACATGAACCAGTGATCCTTCACGGCAACACAACACATGAACCAGTGATCCTTCACGGCAACACAACACATGAACCAGTGATCCTTCACGGCAACACAACACAACACATGAACCAGTGATCCTTCACGGCAACACAACACATGAACCAGTGACCCTTCACGGCAACACAACACATGAACCAGTGATCCTTCACGGCAACACAACACATGAACCAGTGACCCTTCACGGCAACACAACACATGAACCAGTGACCCTTCACGGCAACACAACACATGAACCAGTGATCCTTCACAGCAACACAACACAACACATGAACCAGTGATCCTTCACGGCAACACAACACATGGACCAGTGATCCTTCACGGCAACACAACACATGAACCAGTGATCCTTCACGGCAACACAACACAGGAACCAGTGATCCTTCACGGCAACACAACACAACACAGGAACCAGTGATCTTTCACGGCAACACAACACAACACAACACAGGAACCAGTGATCCTTCACGGCAACACAACACAACACAACACAGGAACCAGTGATCCTTCACGGCAACACAACACAACACAACACAGGAACCAGTGATCCTTCACGGCAACACAACACAACACAACACAGGAACCAGTGATCCTTCACGGCAACACAACACAACACAACACATGAACCAGTGACCCTTCACGGCAACACAACACATGAACCAGTGATCCTTCACGGCAACACAACACATGAACCAGTGACCCTTCACGGCAACACAACACATGAACCAGTGATCCTTCACGGCAACACAACACATGAACCAGTGACCCTTCACGGCAACACAACACATGAACCAGTGATCCTTCACGGCAACACAACACGTGAACCAGTGATCCTTCACGGCAACACAACACATGAACCAGTGATCCTTCACGGCAACACAACACATGAACCAGTGATCCTTCACGGCAACACAACACAACACATGAACCAGTGGTCCTTCACGGCAACACAACACGTGAACCAGTGGTCCTTCACGGCAACACAACACGTGAACCAGTGATCCTTCACGGCAACACAACACGTGAACCAGTGATCCTTCACGGCACCACAACACAACACATGAACCAGTGATCCTTCACGGCAACACAACACATGAACCAGTGGTCCTTCATGGCAACACAACACATGAACCAGTGATCCTTCACAGCAACACAACACAACACATGAACCAGTGATCCTTCACGGCAACA